GCTTGGGAATATTTCACCTTGCGTCGGTGACGTCAGTGCAACTTCAGGCTTTGATACCTATTGAAGAGCATCCAACGAAAACCCTGCCTTGCTTAGTGATTTCTTGGAGAGTAATTCTAGCACTCATTTCATTTTAAAAGTCACCGCATTGATTGATGATATCGATGACCAAAAATTGAGGTGCGTAAGAAAACAAACGTTCTGATTGTGAGGCTAGACTTCGTGCTGCTTTCTTCACCGAGGAAGAAGGGTTTTAATTTTTGGTATCTGACCTGGTGTTACCCGCAGAAAGCGACAAACACTTTGCTGACGAGTGCGCACCAGGGCCTGTGCCTCTTACTGCATGGTTAATAGTGTGATACGGTTGTCGAGGTCTCAAACTTAGAGACGGCTCTAGTGATATAAGCTGGGTGTGCTGCCCCCTGAAATGATGATTTTACCTCGACTTCACCATTTGAATGGTGTAAGACCGGGTGTCAAAGGATGGGAGTCAGGTATTTCACTTAAGGTGAACCACTGTCCGAAGGTAGAGAGATTTCTGTAGTATCCTTTGTGTTGAAGGCTTCAATTATCGGGTATTAGCATAGGTGCCCTGGAAATGACTGACAGGCAGTGTGCTGCTAGTAGCAGTGGTGACAATAGCCTTGTCTTCGAGGCGTTACTTCTTACATGACCTTAGAAACAACAGAACTGCTTCTACGAAGGATCACAAAAAGAAAACCATAAATGGCCTAATTAAATCTATTTACTATAATCGTGTAAAAGACCTGTAAAATCGAATGCACTGAGCTTTATGAGCTAATGCTCTCACAAGCACCACTGTGATAGACATCATGTCAACTGAAGGTTCTCCCTTTATACCGGATGATTCTGATTTAATGTTGGGTGGATGGAAGCCAACTTACATCGTGCGTCTGCGCAGCGCTGTGTGGTACATGTTGTTGCCATACATTCTAGTGTGAAGGGTCACACTCAAGGTCGAGATAGTACAATAATAGTGGTTTACGAAAAAGAAATCGTTTGACATTCAGCAGATATCAAAAAGCTCTAAATGACCTCGCTCTGAATACAAACAATTCTCAGTAAACAAAAATATATTTAGTTTCTGCTTTTCTTATTGCATATACAAATCTCCTAGGATAAGATCTGTGAGCACTATAGTTCTAGAATTTTGTTACTTTCTCAAAAAAGCGCGATGTAGCAACTTATTTCATTATGCTGAGATGTCTTCTGCTGGGAGAAATAGCAGAATGATTCAAAATGAAAGCTTTGAACAAGAGACGTTTACAATACTCACTGCAGTCAGACAATCAACATGAATTGGTGACGGCAATAAAACGTTCAATTTGTGAGGTAGCTGCACAGAAGACAGCTTCAGAACATGCACAAGGTGAGCAAGATCTAAAACACCGACGAATAGACGATGT